TGGGCTCTTTTTTGGTTCCATATGAATTTTAGAATAGTTTTTTCTAAATCTGTGAAAAGTGACATTGGTAATTGATGGGAATAGTATTTAATCTGTAGATTGGTTTGGACAGTATGGACATTTTAATGATATTGATTCTTCCAACCCATGAGCATAAAATAGTTTTCCATTTGTTTGTGTCATCTACATATCTCATTTTTTCCTTAAGTATTTTATTTTTTGTGGCTATTGTAAGTGAAATTGCATTCTTGATTTGGTTCTCAGGTTTAGTGTACAGAAATGCTGCTGATTGGCCAGGCGCAGTGGCTCACGCCTGAAATTCCAGCACTTTGGGAGGCCGAGGCAGGCAGAACACGAGGTCAGGAGATCAAGACCTTCCTGGCCAACATGGTGAAAGCCTGTCTTTACTAAAAATACAAAAATTAGCTGGGCGTGGTGGCGTGTGCCTATAGTCCCAGCTACTTGGGAGGTTGAGACAGGAGAATTGATTGAGCTTGGGAGGAGGAGGCTGCAGTGAGCTGGGATTGTACCACTGCACTCCAGCCTTGGAGACAGAGCAAGAATCCATCTCAAAAAAAAAAAAAAAAAAAAAGAAATGCTGCTGATTTTTGTATGTTGATTTTGTATCCTGAGACTTTGTTGAAGTTGTTTATCAGGTCTACAAGTCTTTTGGCAGAATATTTAGGGTTTTCTAGGTCTAGAATCATATTGTCAGTGAATATGGATAACTTGACTTGCTCTTATTTGGCTGCCTTTTAGTTCTTTCTGTCATCTGATTGCTCTGGCTAGGACTTCTAGTACTATATTGAGTAGTGGTGACAGTGCACATCCTCGTCTTGTTTCAGTTCTCAAGGGGAATGCTTCCAGCATATACCCATTCATTGTGATGTTAGTGGTGAATTTGTCACAGATGGCTCTTATTGTTTTGAGGTATGTTCATTCAATCCCTACTTTGTTAAGGGTTTTTATCATGAATAGTTGTTGGATTTTATGCAAAGCTTTTTCTTCATCTATCGAGATGATCATTTGGTTTTTGTTTTTAATTCTCTCTGTGTGATGAATCACGTTTCTCAATCTGTGTCTGTTGAACAATCATTGCATCCCAGGAATAAAGCCCACTTGATCATGGTGAACTAACTTTTTGATATGCTGCTGGATTCAGTTTGCTAGTATTTTATTGAACATTTTTGCTTCTATGTTCATCAGGGATATTGGCCTGCAGTTTTCTTTATTTGTTGTATGCCCTTGCCAGATTTGGTATCAGGATGACACTGGTTTTGTAGAATGAGTTAGGGAAGGGTCCTTTCTTCTTAAATTTTTGGAATAGTTTCAGTAGGATTGGTACCAGCTCTTTGTACATCTGGGAGAATTTGGCTGTGAATCCATCTGGTCCAGAGCTTTTTTGTGGTTGGTAGGTTTTTTTTCTTTTTATTACTGATTCATTTTCATTACTTGTTATTGGTATGTTCAATATTTCTGTTTCATCCTGGTTCAATCTTGAAAGGTTGTGTTTTTCCAGGAACTTATCCATTTCCTCTAGATTTTCTAGTTTGTGTGCATAGAGGTGTTCATAGTAGTTTATAAGGATCTTTTGTATTTCTGTGGGATCACTTGTAATGTCACCCTTGTTATTTCTGATTGTGTTATTTAGATCTCTCTTTTTTTCTTGGTTATTCTAGCTATCAGTCTATCAACCTTGATAATACTTTAAAGAACCAATTTTTCATTGATCCTTTGTATGTTTTTTGGGGGATCTCAATTTCTTTTAACTGTGCTGTGATTTTATATATTTTTCTTCTTCTAGCTTTAGATTTAGTTTGTTCTTGTTCTTCTACTTCTGTTAGGTTCATGGTTAGGTTGTTTTATGTCTTCTTTATGAAGCCATTTAGCAGTATAAACTTTCCTCTTAATACAGCTTTGCCCACATCCCAGAGATTTTGGTGTGCTGTGTCTCTATTTTCATTTGTTTCAAAAAGTTTTTTGATTTCTGCCTTAATTTTGTTTTTTACACAAAAGTCATTTAGGGGCAAGTTGTTTAATTTCCATGTATTTATGTGGTTTTGAGAGTTCCTCTTAGTATTGATTTCTATTTTTATTCCACTGTGGCCTGAGAAGCTACTTGGTATAAATTTGATATTTTTGAATTTATTGAGCAGTGTAAATGCTCCACTTAAAAGACATAGAGTGGCAAATTGAGCAACAAAAAAAGACTCATCCTTCTACTGTCCTCAAGAGATTCATCTTACATTTAATGATGCCCAAAGGCTCAAAGTAAAGGGATGGAGAAAGATCTATCATGCAAATGGCAAACTTTAAAATAGACTTTTAAAACCTGCAACAGTAAAAAAAGGACACAGTAGGGCATTACATAATGATAAGGGGTTCAATTATACAAGAAGAGTTAACTATTCTATATATATACATATCCAACATTGGTAAAGCAATTGGTAAAGCAAATTATTGCTGAAGGGGGTGCAGAATTGTTATGAGATTTGATTTATGTCCAAGCATGTGGTCAATCTTAGAGGAGGTTCTGTGTGCAGAACAATTATTGAAACAAATGAAAACAGATACACAATATACCAAAACCTCTGGGATGCAGCAAAAGTAACATTAAGAGGAAAGTTTATCCTGCTAAATGCCTTTATAAAGAAGACATAAAACAACCTAATGTTTTACCTAGCAGAAGTACATTGGTAAAGCAATTACTCCTAGACCTAAGAAAAGACTTTGACATCCACAGAATAATAGAGGAGATGTCAACACCCCACTGACAGCAGTAGACAGATTATCAAGGCGGAAAACCAATGAAGAAATTTTGAATTCAAATTGTAAACTTTGCTGATTGGGCCAAATAGACATCTACAGAGTACTCCAACCAACAACCACAGAATATGAATTCTTCTCATCTGCATGCAGGACATTCTCTAAGATTAATGACATGCTCGGACATAAATCGAGTCTCAATATACCTTAATGGAAATTCTGCAGCCCCTTCTCCAAGCGAGAAACCTAGAGGCCCTCCTAAATTTTTCTCAGTCCCTCAGCTGCACATATGTAACTGGTAACCAAACTTATCAATTAAGGCTGGGCATTTGGCTCAAGCCTGTAATCCCAGCTTTGGGAGGCCAAGTCAGGAGGATTGCTTGAAGCCAGGTGTTCAAGACCAGCCTGGGCAATATATAAGATCTTGTCTCTACCAAAAAAATTAAAAAACATTAGCTGGGTGTGGTGGCATGTGTCTGTTGTCCCAGATACTTAGGAGGCTGAGGTGGGAGTACCCCTTGAGTCCATGAGGTTGAGGTTACAGTGAGCCATGATTGTGCCACTGAACTCCAGCCTAAGTAGTAGAGCAAGATCCTGACCCAAACCAAACCAGAAACAAAAACTTATCAATTATACATTTGAAGTAGTTCTCTGTGTCTTTCTCTCAATCCCAATTTTCACTAAGCTCAAATCTTCTTCACCTCTTACCTGAACTATTAGTCTCCTCATTCATTTTCCTACTTTTAGCTTTATTTCTCTCATTACGTACATATGTAATTATTTATTTATTTATTTATTTCATTTATTGAGACAGAGTCTTGTCCTGTCACCCAGGCTGGAGGGCAATGGTATGATCATGGCTCAGTGTAGCCCCCTTCTCCTGGGCTCAGGTGATCCTCCCACCTCAGCCTCCCAAGTAACTGGGACTACAGGTGCATGCCACCACATCTGGCTAATTTTTTTGGTATTTTTTGTAGAGATGGTGTTTTGCCATGTTGCCCAGGTTGGTCTTGACCTCTTGGCCTCAAGCGATCTACCTGCCTTGGCCTCCCAAAGTGCTGGGATTACAGGCATGAGCCACCATGCTTGGCCCATAATACAGTGCCGATTATATTATCAGAACATTAATTATAACATTAGTGTAACAGTAGCTCTTTACATATATAACATATATATCATATATGTCAAACATAAAAATATATATATATATTCTGTTTAACAGTCGTTAGTAATGCAAAAGACAGGCAAACACAAATGTTGGCAAGGATGTGGAGAAAAGAGAACCCTCTTTCCCTCTTGATGGGAATGTAAATTAGTACAACCACTATGGAGAACAGTTTGGAGTTTCCTTGAAAAATTAAAAATAGAACTACCATATGATCCCACAATCCCAAAGAAAGGAAATCAGTATATCAAAGAGGTATGTGCATTCCCATGTTTATTGCAGCACTATTCACAGTAAACAAGATTTAGATGCAACCTCATTGTCCATCAGCAGATGAATAGATAAAGAAAACGTGGAATATACACAATGGAGTACTATTTAGCTATAAAAAAGAATGAGATCCTGTCATGTGCAGCAACATGGATGGAACTAGAAGTCATTATGGTATGTGAAATACACCAGGCACAGAAAGACAAACTTCACATGTTTTCATTTATCTGTGGGAGATAAAACCTAAAACAATTGAATTCTTGGAGATAGAGAGTAGAATGATAGTTATCAATGGTTGGAAAGGGTCATAGATAAGGAGGAAGTGGTGATGGTTAATACATACAAAAATATAGTTAGAATGAGTAAGATCTAGTATTTGATAACACAACTGGGTTACTACTGTCAACAGTAACTTACTGTACATTAAAAATAACAATTGGATTGTTTGTAACAAAAAGAAAAAAATAAATGATTGAGGTGATGGATTAAGAAAAATGTTCTAAGTAGCTTAAAGTTCTTCCTAATGCCTATAGGACAGGTGCAGACCCCTTAACAGAGCATACTTCACCCTTTTAATCTTCTACTTTAAACTCTGACTCTTGTTTTCATTCCCAGATAGTTGGTTACCATCCTGTAGGCAAAGAGTGAGCATACTGCTGCATGCTCCTCAAGGTCTCCTTGCTATGAAGTCTTCCTAGAATGTTCCTTTCCTTCTCTTTGTCAATTTACTTGCCCCTCTCTTGTTTGTCTGCAACTCCATACTTACAAATCTTTCAGTGTTTCTCATATTTTGTTTCAGGTAGCTGTTAATATGCATGATCTCCTGCTGTGAGCTCCTTAAAGGTAATAACTATGTTTTATTCATCTTTGTTTCCTTAGCTAAGAGTCTTGCAGGTAATAGGTACTCAGCAAATGTTTGTTAAGTGAACACTGAATGTGGAAAAGCCATATACTAATATGGCAAAGGCATCATTGTGGCTTCATTAAACCTGAACCATGCAGACCAAAGGAGTTTTGTCTGAGGGAGAGTGGCCAGGATTAGTGGAGATTCTTGAGATTGGAATGGAAATAAGCTAAAGAGGAGTTCCAGTCTCACCCATGTCCCTGGAGACAGTTGATGCCTTAAGATGAGTAAGGTTTAAAACTTGATTCTTATGAATCTTTATTTTATTTCTCAGGGATTTCCCCCAAGCTATAAACATTGAGATTTTGTTAGGCAGATCCTTATTCCAAAAAAGAATACCTATTTGTGTTTTAATTGTTTGGAATTGTGGTCCCTCTTTACTTTATTTCAGTAATTTTTGTGCTTTTTGATGCTTTCATTTAGCTGAATCTCAAAACATCAATACAATCTTTTCTTGCCACGGTCAACAGCTCCCCCAAGAATCTTGCGCACGCTACTCTCTTCCTGACATTCCCATTCCCTCTGCCTTTTCCCCACTCTATTCTAGCACTTCAGTAGCATTTTCCTGTGATAGAGCTATGTAGGCTGGCATGGGCCTCCTCTAGACTGAGTTACCAGAAGGCAGGCAGGTACCAATTTCATAAAGTTCTCTGCTGCAGGGCCTAGTAAAGTGATTTGCATAACAGAGACATTTAGAAAGGGTATGGTGAATAAATAATAATGACAATGACCTCATTAAGGCAGTGCAGAGGGACACATAATGATCTCAGGAGTAATTCATAGATATTCTTGCTTGAAAAGGTTTAAGTAAGTTGTTTGGTTTAAATGCTATATCATCTAAAACCTCAATTTCCTATAGCAACTAGTACCGGAGTGAGAGGACATTTTGTGCTGTTCAGCAATGTGAGGGAAGCTGCCGCTGGAAAGGGGAAAGGAACCAGTGTTTGGAGGGAGGCCATGGAACAAGATAGAAAATCCTCAAAGGGAGCTAACTGTCCACTTGCACTCCTGGAAAGAGTCGGGGAATGGAGGGAGGGCAAGGCTACGGTTGCAGAGCCACTCAGAGCCAGCCACAGTGTTTGTGTAGGGAGGGTAATTTCTGATAAAAATAGAGGAAAACTTTATTTTTTTTTTAAACGTTAAGCACTTTAAAAGCAACTGTGGGAAGTTTTAATCATAGGGTGGCTGTTTCTTTCTGAAAGAAGAAAGGCATTTCAGTTTTAAATTCAGTGGGTTGAAATGATTGTGTCATTTCAGCTAGAGAGGAGCACGTCAGCAAGTGGAAATGTTTTATCGTGGAAAGTATGACTTGAAGATGTCACATTTAAAATTTTAAAAAAGTAAATAATTTCTGTAGTCAGCTTTCTTCCTCCACAAGAACATTTAGAGCTTTGCTGCATTTAGAAAGAAAAAGTACAAATTTCAGGCAACATATTCACCATTGACATAGAAATAGAAGTCTTACTAAATGGGATGGGTTTCTTAATATGGTTAAGATATGCAGAAAATAGAACAAAGATTGCCCCTTAGGAGATAAACTTTGCTAGAGGTATTATGGAAGATTAGCCTGTGAGTTTATTTAAGTATTTATGCTTGATTATGGGAGTTAGTAGATAAAATGAGATGCTGACTAAATTGTAAGGCCCTTGGTTTCCAACTCCCTGTCTTACTTACCACTAAAACATCCTCTGTAGTTCATTGACCTGTTAGACATTTGATACAAATTTGCTGAATCAATGAATTTTAGGATGTTTGGAATGTAAGTCTGCATTAATCATTTAAAGATGTCATCAGCCACCAGTAAGTATTAATAATGATGATAAAGGCACTGTTTTTAAAAAGATTAATATAGAAATTAGAGATATAAAATGATGACTTTATGGATTGTCTTCTTGAAGCTGGCATTATTATATGTTTGAACTAACCTGTAGTTTATGGAATATAACAATTTTCAGGACAGTGTCTTTTTACAGAGCCATCAGACCCAATAGTCAGATTAACTGCCCGAATATGAAGAAAGGTTGAGAATCATGAAGCTCTCGAGGTTATTAGTTATGACTAAAAAATATTGAATAAAGAAACTCCTGGTGAGAGTAATTAGTTGCTCTCTTTATTTAGCCAATTGAAAGATACAGCTAATTAGAAATGCATTTTACTGTCAAGAGACGTTTTCTAAAGTGATTTTTTTCACTTCCACTGTCAGAACTTTAGGCAAATCCCTTTCTTTTGTAGCCAGGCCTTGCATGCATGGCAATTTTTTTTCCTTAGGAGAATATGTGTATGCATATCAAGTAAGGTATATTGTTCATAGTTTCTTTCTAGGTGTGTGACATTGTTTTTTCCCTACAGAATTTTCATTTATAATCCAAGATTCTTCGTTTGTAGTAACAAATTATTTGCCTCGTAATGGTCTATACTTGGAACATGCTGGAAAAAGAGTACAGATGTTAATTTTTTATCACAGACATTCTTAAGATAATTAAACTAGTTTTTTTGTTGTGGTGGTGGATTTTTTTTGTTTGTTTTGAGACATAGTCTCATTCTGTCACCCAGGCTGGAGTGCAGTGGTGCAATCACAGCTTATGGCAACCTCCGCCTCCCAGGTTCAAGCAATTCTCCTGCCTCAGTGTCCCAAGTAGCTGGGATTACAGGTACCTGCCACCATGCCCAGCTACTTTTTGTATTTTAAGTAGAGATGGGGTTTCACCATGTTGGCCAGGCTGGTCTTGAACTCCTGACCTCAAGTGATCCACCTGCCTTGGCCTCCCAAAGTGCTGGGATTACAGGCGTGAGCCACTACCCCAGCCTAGTTTCTTCTTTTTTCATGACATTTCTGTTCAAGGAAGTCTGTTTTTGTTTTTGTTGGGCTTTTGTTTGTTTGATTTTTGCTCGTATTGCCTCACTAAATGCATTGTTAAAACCTGGAGTTATTCTCTTTACTAGGGCAATCTCTTCCCACTTAGGGGATTTAGATTCTGACGGCCTGGATTCCAGTTCCAGTCCTGCCATTTACTACCTGCGTGGCCTCAGTTTAGCATCTCTACTGCTCAAACCCTCTAAGTTTCAGTTTCCTCACTTGTAACATGGGGAAAATAACAGTTAGGTTGTTGAGAATTAAATGAGATGTACTGAAGGCCCTTAGCTGCCCATAGTAGCACATAGTAAGCTTTCTATGATTATTGTTATCGCTGTAGTTGTTTATGTCTCTGCTCCTTTGGCCAGCCTTCCTTTTTCCTATTTTTTCCCCTCAGATCAACTCTCTCACTCAATATTTCCAATATATATTTTTTTCTGGTTAATTTCATTTGTATATGTGAATATAGACCATGACATAAAGTAGGAAATGATTTCCATGTGAAATTTTTAGACTAGATCCCATCATATACCTTCTACAATATGTATAGGAATAACTTATTTGAGCATCAAAACACTGTTTCACATGTGAAACAAACCTAGACATACTCTCTTGCAATGATTTACACTCTTTGCAGTGCATTCCTGGATATTCGCCTCTCATCCTTGCATGTATTTTCCCACACCTCTACATGTGCCGTCTCCTTTGCTCATGCTTCACCTTCCTTCTCTGATTTATAGCTGTTGATGTTTTTGTTCCCTTGCCATGCATTAGAATTAACATCTTTTTCGAATATTGCTTCTTTGTGAAGCTTATTACCGTTCTATTCTGTGTCCCAGATACTCTATGTTCAATCCAGTGGGGTTGCACAGGGAGAATTCACACTAATTCAGGATGGCGGCAGGGTGGGGAGAAAGAACAGGCTGGTCCTGCTCCTCTACTCCCCTGTTTCTGATGTGGGCAACTTCTGTTTTCCTATGTGCTGGTGACAAGGGAGGGACATGAAGGAATTGGAGGAGTTCTGTTTTCCAGGTGCTTCCTAATACCTACTGGATAACATCGAAGCTCCTGAACATGGTACACATATTCCCTAAGATCTGCGCTCTTGCAACCTCGTCTTCCCACTTTAAAATTTGTACCCTGGTGATACTGTCTTTCAGTGCCTAGGACATCACATCCTGCTTTGAATTTATGTGTCTGTGCTTCTTGTGTAATGTTTGTCTGCCCATTTTTACCTTGCAGACTCCAAGTCTCCAATCCATTTTTCCAAGCTCAGCACAGAGCTTGTCTCCTCTGGGAAGCCTTCCATGAGGCTTTTCCCTTCTTACTACTGAGCCAAGTACCCTCCTTTCCTTTGGATTCAACTGCACCCTGGGAATAGCTCTGTCATTATAGACCGTGTTACTTTGGAATGATGTGTTTATGGGTCTGTTTTTTTCTGATGGAATAAATTCCGTGACAGCAGGGACCACATATTATTCATTTCTGTATCCCCACCATCTAGCATGCTATGTGGTTCAGTGTATACCAGCCAGGGTTATTTGTAGAACTCTTAAATTGACCTCACTGGGATCCGTGGGGATGAAGGCAGTGATGAAGGAATTCTTGCTTCCTTTCATGGGGTTTGCCAGATAGTGGCCTGACTTTAAATTTCTTTCAGACAACTTAACTGGACAGATAATTTAGCTATTCTCCAATTTGCAGTCTTATTCCAGAAGGGACTATATTTTAAAAGGTGGAATTCATATGTTTACTTTATTGTAGATTTTTTTTCTTATGTCATAGTATAGCTTTTTTGCCAACCACATGTATTTCCCATTTACTCATTTCTTCTACAGAACACATATTAAGATAATGGACTTTCTAAACACATGAGACAAATGCCTACAAAATGCCTGAAACAAAATGGCCCATCAGCAGATTTTCTCATAGAAGAAACCTGTAGGCACATAATAGAATGCCTCTCAGTACAAAAACAAACAAGCAATTACCTGTGCTGCTTCCTGTGGGAAACTCAGCATCCTACCACCCATGATGATGACTTCTGTGATTTTTTTTAGGAGGGGTTACATCATTCTAAGGAAA